TCTTTCACACTTTTGCACTCTTACACATCAATATCGCACCTCCAGAATTTGCACACATCTTTTGTCACAACCCTCCCTTCACAGCATCTTCAGCCTTGCAGCTGCTCCCTGACTCATTCCTCACAGCTGAGGGAGGGCAGTCATGTCAGCCTTCATATCTAGCTGCTGTTTCCTCAGCAAGGCGAGGTACACCAAATTTTAATACGCTAACCTATAAATTCTGTCTATTTGCTTTAATTAGAATTTGGCTGACCTACTAAAACATATTTTTAGACAATCAAAAATGTGCTACTGGCTGACCAACCTTTAAGAAAATATAATAATTTCTTATTAACATTCAAAGACCTATCCAATAAACATCCTTTGAAGTTAAAAATGTTTATAAGTTACTGGAACGTATGGACCTTATTGTAGTTCCTATGAAATGTTGTTTTAATATGTATATGATATAGTACTGTTCAAGAGAAGTGCTTAATCAAGGGAATTTACTACTGTTCTTATTGTGGCTGTGTATATCCCGCCCAGCGCTGACTCCAGAGGCGCAACGAGTCCTTTACGGGGACATCAGTGATCTTCAAACTGCTCATCCCGAAAGCTTTGTAATTGTTGCTGGCAACTTCAATCACGTGAATCTTAAGACCGTTCTCCCTATATTTTATCAATATATTAACTTTGCAACCAGAGGGGTGAACACACAAGACTTTATACAGATATCTGTGGCGCATACAAGTTTGTTCCCCGTCCCCAACTGGACTACTCTGACCACATCACTGTTATGCTAATCCCAGCATACAGATCGCTGCTTAAACATGCCAAACCGGCTCTGAAACAGATCAGAGTATGGCCAGATGGAGCTATCTCAGCATTACAGGACTGTTTTGAGCACACAGACTGGAATATGTTCAGGGAGGCTGCTGCCTATGATCATCTCATCAACTTAGAGGAGCATTCAGCATCTGTGACTGGCTACATCAGTAAGTGTAAAGACAACGTCACTGTCTCCAAATTCATCATCACACAGGCCAGCCAAAAGCCATGGCCGACTACAGAGATCCATGCACACTGTTAAGAACCCGTGATGCTGCTTTCAGATCAGGCGACAAGGCAGCCCTTAGGACTGCAAGGGCCAACCTGTCTTCTGCCATCAGGGAAAGTAAAGCGCACCTATGTACAGAAAATCCATGGCCACTTCTTGTACCAGAGACATGCGGCGCATGTGGCAGGGCATCAAGGTCATAACTGACTACAGGATTACTTTATGTGCCAGTGACGGTGATGCCTTTCTCCCAGATGTGCTGAATAACTTCTATGCACGGTTCGAAGCATGAATATTGTGCTTGTGGGGAAGACAATACCTCTTCCCGATGATCAGGTGCTTTGCCTGTCCACCGCTGATGTGAGGAGGAAACTAGCCAAAGTTAATCCACGTAAGGCTGCTCGACCTGATAATATACTTGGTTACGTGCTCAAGGAATGTGCAGATCAGCTAGCGGATGTCCTTAATGATATTTGTAATATCTCCTTGTGCCAGGCGATTATCCCTGTATGCTTTAAATCCACCACTATTATACCAGTGCCGAAGAAGTCAGCTGTGTCGTGCCTCAATGATTACCATCTCGTGGCACTCACACCTGTTATCATGAAGTGCTTCGAGAGGCTAGACATGGGCCACATAAAGTCCAGACTCAACCTCTCTGGACCTCCTCCAGTTTGCATATCGCCCTAACCGGTATACTGATGATGCTCTATCTCTTGCCCTTCACCTGGACCTGTCCCACCTGGATAAGAAAGACACTTATATAAGAATGGTGTTCATTGACTTCAGCTCAGCATTTAAGACAATCATTCCCCAAAAGCTGATAGGAAAATTGAGCTTGCTGAACCTTAACACCTCCATCTGTAACTGGGTCCTGGACTTTCTAACCGAGAGATCTCAGACAGTCCGGATCGGTTATAACATCTCCAGCACCATCACAATAAGCACCGGAACCCCCCAGGGCTGTGTGCTCAGCCCAGTGCTGTTCACGTTGATGACTCATGACTGTAGTGCCAAGTTCAAATAACATCATTAAGTCTGCTGATGACACGATGTGATGGGCTTCATTTGTAACAACGATGAGTCACTATACAGAGAGGAGGTGGAGCAATTAGTGGACTGGTGCACAAACAACTTGTTTCTTTGTTGATAAGACCAAAGAGATGATTATTGACTTCAGGAGGGCCCATGCTGATCACTCCCCACTGTACATCAGTGGCTCCCCTGTGGAAACAGTTAGAAGCACCAAGTTTCTTGATGTACACATTATAGATGACTTCACTCGGTCCCTCAATACCACCTCCCTATTAAAAAAAAGCACAGCTGGGAAAAGATATTGCAGTATACGGGCTAGCTCCACTAGATTCTGTAACAGTTTTTTCCCACAGGCTGTAAGGCTTCTCAACACTACTTGCACCCACTCTGTCACGCCCTGTACAGCTAGAGGGTGCTCTACTTCTATCCTGTTCCTAGTTCCCTGTGATTATTCATATCTTTCCGGTGTGTCTTGTGTATTTACTTCCTGTGTCTGCTCTTCTCCTTGCTCAGCATTGAGCAATATTACCTATTATTGCCTATTACCAGGTTGCCCCACGTCCGTGGCTTGAGGGCATAGGTTTCTATTCTGACATCATCCAACTCCCTGAGCAAGGGCTAACCCCCGTCCTGCCCCCTTTTACCGCATAGGGTCTACACCTTGTCATTCCACGACATGCCCTTCCAACATCCATGATACACTCCAATTCCAGAAACAAAGTTTAAAATCCCCCAGTGTTTAGTGTATATTGTATGATGTATTTTTGTACTATTCTGTAACAGTTAAATTGCACTATGTATATATCCTGTGTACACTGCCTCTGTTCTGGTGTACACTGTCTTAGTTTGCATGATCTTATTTATTAATATTAGTATTATTAGTCCTGTCTACATTGTCTATGTCAGTGTCTTGTCTGTAATTGCACCTTGGACCAGGAGGAATGATATTTTCATTCCACTGTATACTTGTATATGGCTGGAATGACAAATGAACTTGAACTTAATCGATGAAGACAATATAGGAACTTAAAAAGTGGTTTAATAAAACATGGGACATTTTTGCCTCAATCCTGAAATGTCACAATGTCAAGAATAAGAAGTGTAAATGTTATTAAATCAGCTTGAATGTTAAAAGTCTTTGCTGCACACATTTCCCAGGTATGGGTGAGCTCTGTGACAGAGATAACTGAAGAAGATCTGAATGCTGAAGACAGAGACAGTCCACCAGAAGATTTGGAGTATATCGTCACTCCTCCTAGCAATGGTCATCTGGCACTCAAGAATTCTGCCAACAAACACATCTTCAACTTTACACAGGCCCACATTAACCAGGGGCAGTTAGTTTTCGTGCACAGTGGTAAGAGATGCTCAGAACACTTTAGCCTATTTGTCGATGCATCCAATGTTTTCCCCACTTTTCCAAATTGCTAAACTGAGAGGTATTATCTTTATAGAATTACTATAGAAAAAGCAGTTGATTGACATTTGTCTTCAAGAGATTTGCTAGAATGTGTTGCATGATTCACTGCATGATGTATCTACTTTAAAATTTAAAACCTTCCATTTGAAAGCTGTAACTTATTGTATTTGGTTTTAAAAGCATCGGTTTTCAGCTCCAAAATAATTCTTGGAAACTTTGGTCAGACTTGAAATTTGTGGTGAGTGACTATAGTGTTTACATAGCTTCAGATTAAATTAGGTAATGTCAGAGTATATCTTCAAACTAAAGGAGTGTTAAACCTAGTATAGAGCAAACTAGAAGTTTGTTAGCAACCTAACAATGTTTTACTGTTATGGGAGCAGCTGAGACTCAGTGGAAAATGTTATGTATTATTTTCCAGGTGCCATGTCTGGTGGATTTAACTTCCAGGTTAATGATGGGATGAACTTTGCCCAAAGGCAGATCTTCAGCATCACAGCCAGAGCCTTGGTCCTCAGTCTTGAAAAAACCAAACCTCTCAAAGTGTTTCCAGGTAACTTCATGAAAGCCTAGCCTCCGTTTCTATCGAATAGCTTTTGATATGATACACAAATTTTGCCTGAATTTCAAATAGTTGGATCCAACTACATTCAGTTATACAAATGCATAATAACATTTAGTAGACTAAAAAGACAAACTAAAGTTTTCACTTTATTCCCAATTGTTTTTGTTTTCAATTTTTCATTTCAATTTTATGTGCACAAAACATTTCACATTTACAGTAGCATACATGTGCAAAGGAAAATGTATGATTCTAAGCTATTGCAATTTTAAGGCATTGGAATTGTTTCAATATATAAGTGTGAATCTGCATGTTAACTTGTAGTAACCACAAGTGGTTACTGAAACCGAAACTGTCATGGTCTTTAAAATGTTTTAAAATAGTGAAGTGCAGGCTATACTTCTCATTGTCTGTTCCTGAAAATAAAAGCCTATCAGAACCTTCCTAACGGGGAAATGTGTCTGTAGGCATTGCTTTCTATTGTTAATAAAAATAGTTTTAGGTGGCTACTTTTTTACTTACAGGTTTTCACTTTGGGATAAAGGGTATAGTTATTTCCATCTTGACATGCAGTCTAACATAGCCACCATTTGTGATTGTTGCTTTGTGATGAAGTATTAAGATTGGCTTCTTTTTTGTATGCAAGCATATTAATGTTTTTTACCAAAGATCTTTTGTAAAATGAAAAAATAGGATACAAGGTTGTAAGTGCTGAGTCACTGGGGGTCTGCAAGAAGAGCCTTGATGCAGGACCTGAATCATTAACGTACTGACATACTGACGAGCAGTGTGGGCACAGCAGTCTCTCATCTGTAACATTTGTGTGCTCTTATTACAATAATTTTGAAAAGGCACAGTAAAACTCAGTTTACATCACCAACTGTACATCATCCAATTGTACAGTAGACAAAACGTCCAATATGAGTGTTGTGAAATTCATGTTAGATTATTTTGTTTCTGGTTTCCATATGACAAATTCATAATATTTTGGGATAATGGATGAATATTAGTTGTGGTTGTGATATAAGAAGTGTTTGTTTTTACTTTTAGAATATTAATTTTCTAAATGTATTTTTATGTGAATACTACGTCTGCCCCTCAGTTGCCTAGCTTTAATCATTAACTATTTATTAGGTGTGTGTGTGTGGGGGGGGGGGTACATTATGAATATTATGGCCACAAAGTCATGTTAAAGCTACTCTAAAATACAAATCCTGAGGTCAATGATTAAATTCCTATTTATTTCCACAAATGAATAGAATAGAAATTGAGGTACCTCAATAAAATAAATCAGTACTGTTTGGTACAAAAGTTTGGGCACCACTGGCCAAATTACATTTTGTTGATTTTCTTAGTGAAAAGACGTTAACACAATCTCTGCAGTGAACAAACTTAAATTTGACATATTTCTGCAAATTGTAATGCACAGTTACTATTTATATGCTGAATTTAACAGACTGAAAAAGATAACACACCATTTGGTAGAAGTCACAGCCTCCAAGCGTCTTTGTGTTCTCGCTTTAGGAAATTTTTTCCACTTGCAGAATGCTTCTAGTTCAGAAATATTCTTAGGTTGTCTTGCATGCATTGCATGTTTGAGGTCTACCCACAGAGTTTCAATAATATTCAAGTCTAGGGACTGTTAAGTCCATTCCAAAACCTTAATCATTCATTTCTTGAAGAAGTCCATGGTTGACTTTGAGGTATGTTTTGGATCATTGTCTTGTTGTAATATCTAACCTCTTTTTAGCTTCAGTTTCTTCACTGACTGTGGGACATTAGCTTCCAGGATTTGTTGATACTTAGTAGAATCCATTCTTCCCTCTACTTGCACAGTATTTCCTGTCACACAACTCCAAAGCATAATAGATCCACACCCATGCTTAATAGTTGGCAAGGTGTTCTTTTCTTCAAATGCTTCTCCTTTTTTCCCCAAAAATATACCTTCAGTGATTGTAGCCAAAGACTTCAATTTTTACTTCAACAGACCACAGCACTTGGTTCCAAAATGCCTCTGGCTTATCTAAGTGTTAAATACTTCAGAGCTTGGCTTTTGTGATGAGATCGAAGGTAAAGTTTCCTTCTGATGACTCTTTCATGCAGATCATGTTTGTGCAAGCACAGTGAAGCGGTGCACCACTACGCCCATGCCAGCTAACTCTTCCTGCAGGTCCTTTACAGTGATATTTGGAGGTTTTGCTTTGCATTCCTGACCAGTCTATGAGCAGTTTTATCAGAGATTTTTCTTGGTCTTCCAGATCTTGTCTTGACTTCAACAGTTCCCCTTAACTTTCATTTCTTAATGACTTTTTGGACAGTCGAAATTGCAAGGTTGTATCTTTTTATAGCCTTCCCCTCCTTTGTAAAAGTCAATTATCTTTATTTTCTGATCCTCAATCAGCTGCTTAGAGGAGCCCATGGTTGTTGAGTGTAAGCCCGACACCCTGAGAGGTTCAAAGAGTCAGAGAATTTATTAAGCTCTGGAATTGTCATCACCTGACTTAGATTAAGGCCTAACAAGCCAATTAAATTCTAAGACCTTCCAAAAAAATAACGCTTGTGAATCAACTGGAAGGGTGCCCAAACTTTTGCACATGCCACATGTACTGTTTTATTTTTTTCAATCTGTTCAATTCAGCAAATAAATAGTAACTGCATTAAAATTTGCAGAAATATGTCAAGTTTAAGTTTGTTCGCTGCAGAGGTTGTGTTAACTTCTTTTCACTAAGAAAATCAACAAAACATAATTTGACCAGGGGTGCCAAACTTTTGCATACAACTGTACTGATTTATTTTATTGAGATACCTCAATTTCTATTCTCTACATTTGTGGAAATAAATAGGAGTTTATTCATTGACCTCAGGATTTGTATTTTACAGTAGCTTTAACATGACTTTGTGGCCATAATATTCATAATATACCCCCCCCCCCCCTTTTCACTTAGAAAATCAATGGGAATGGGTTTAATGGGAAAGTGAGTTTTTATTTAAGGCTGTTTCTGACTTCCTTTTTGTTTTTCAACTCTTGAGAATCAGTGCTCATTTAGAATATTGCATAGAATTGTGGGTCACCACATTATAAGAAAGCTATTGCTGCTCTGAAATCTATACAGTGAAGTACATTTAGGGCTGTCCTACACTGACAGACACAACAAAATTAATGTTTGTAGTCTCAATAGGGGAATACCAGGAGTGGAAAGTAAAAGTTATCTAAATTCGCAAACTTGTTAAGAGATTGGTTTCTTAAAAATCAGAAGCAAAACATGGACCACAGTGTACAGATTCTAAGAACAGACCTCCAGGAAAAGTGCTGAAAACAAGGTTATAGACAAATGGAACAAGCTATCGTTTTAACAGTTTTTAGAAATATTTCCTATCCTGTTTACCTAAAAGATTTGTTATAAATTAGAATTATATAATGAACATTATTAAACTTTATGATGTGCCAGGTTCCTTTCCTTTACCTTGAAAGTTCTGTTATGCTATCTAAGATTATAGCCATCATAGTTGAGAAGTACAACAGTCTATTTAATAAGCTATATTGTAACCTTTATTAAATTTGTCCATAAAATATATATATATTACAGCAATTTTGCGAGATTTAAGTTTTAAGATACAACATTCAACATCAAACCACTTCCCTGAAATATAATTTTTAAAGGTATAAACAGTCACATTAAGGAGTTCCAATCTTGCTTATATTAATTTCACAGTAGCTCAGGACATTCCAAGGACAGTGGCAGTCAGCCAGAGACCATGGTTCTGTCTTTATAAAATGAAAGTACTTCAAGGTTATCTGGTAAGCTGTTAGTATTTTTACAGAAAGACTTATGACCCCATCATTGTAGTAATTTAAATACATAAATGGATCCATTCAGTTTATTTTTTTACGTCTTCAAATCTGCTTTTTATAGTAATGTTTCTGTTATTCTAGTAATAAATTATAATGCCAGTAGTTTTAAAACTATAGTGTTAAAGCTATGTTTTGTGCAGATATTGTACACAAATAATAATTGTACAGGAGTTAAAATAAGATTAAACACAGGAAAGAAAGATTATTTAAATTTAATTTATACATTTGAGTTTGCATTAAATTATTTCACATTTGTGACATACTTATCACAAAAACAAAATCAAACGCTAACTGATTTAAGCATTTGGCTAATGCTCTTACAACATTACAACATTAACTTCTTCGACATCTTCAATTTTTGCAGAACATTTTAAGAACATTACAATGTAATCTAAATTTGTAAACAGTCACTTCTGATATAAACAAATGATTATTTTTTTATACTGCCTCATAAAATATACAAAAGAGTGAGCACTACATGCTCGAACCTGCTGTCTACATGGAGGTAATGTCATAAATGAATTCCTGAAAAATATACTCTTTTCATCAAGCATTCCTTTATGGCTTTCACATTACACGCTTGAATAAGTAGGTCACTAGCAGCCACACTTAAAAACCAATTAGATATACATTTTAAATCTTTAGAGTTATAAAAATACCTATGAACAGTGCACACTAAGTTTCATTTCATGTTCATTAACAGCTTTTTAGTCCAGCATTGTAAGGACTTTGCATATTTGTTCTTACTTTTTGAAGTACTTTTATTTATCAAGGTGCACATTGACTATGGTAGAAAGAAAACAATTTAGGTCTTGGATTTGACACATAGTGGTCCACAACTTCCCCATTTTTGACAAATTAAAGCAATTAACACAATTTGCTGAACTGTAATAATCGCTTAAATATGTAGGGGCTTTTCAAAGCCAAAATCTTTTCCAGTGAGCTCCTGATTTCTAAACCCACATCCATTGTGCACTTAACCTTGTTTTTTTTACAAATTCTGCACCAGAACACAATGGCTCACTGGGCCAGAGGTCATCCTGATTTCTGTAGTGTTAAGTGGATTGAGAACGTGCAATTCCCTACCTGGTTGGATCATCTGTCCATCACAGCAATATTGGTCCCTGCGTACATAGCTGAGTATACTGGAGCAACTTACCCCCCTCAATGGTACAACAGCAGTGTCTGCAGTGGGGACTTGAACATATTACTTGTGAGTTGTAAGTCCAGAGACTTTCCCATTACACAAGTTCAAGTTCAAGTTCACGTTTATTTCTCATTCCAACCATATACAAGTATACAGTGGAACCTCAAATATAGAAAGGACAGACAAGACACCGATATAGACATTGTAGACAGGACACACATAATTCAAAGTGCAGATAGTGCAAATTACAAGGCAAATACATAATACATTATACACACGGAGGGTGTTTAAACCCTGTTTCTGGAATTGGGGTGGGTGCAAGTATTGTAGATTCCAGGGTGTTCAGGAGCCTGACAGCCTGCGGGAAGAAGCTGTTCCAGAGTCTGGTGGAGCTAGCCTGTAGACTGCGAGATCTTTTCTCAGATGGTAGGAGGGCAAAGAGTTTATGGGAGGGGTCATCTACTATACTGGAGGCCATGTGTATGCAGCGCTTGTGATAGATAATAGAAATGGAAGGGAGGGAGGGAGGTTTTCAGCTGTTTCCACAATTCATTGCAGGGTCTTGCGGTCTGAAGCGTTGCAATTCCCAAACCAAACAGTGATACAGCTGGTCAAGGTGCTCTCAATGGTGTTTCTGTAGAAAGTGGTGAGAATGGGTGGGGGAAGGTTTGCCCTCCTCAGTTGCTGCCGGAAATAGAGATGCTGCAGTGCTTTCTTGGCTAGAGAGGTGGTATTGAGGGACCGAGTGAGGTCATCTGTAATGTGTACACCAAGAAACTTGGTGCTTCTAACTGTCTCCACAGGGGAACCGGTAATGTACAGTGGGGAGTGATCAGCGTACATCAATGCTTGTTATATGATTGAAGCTATATATTCTATAACTATATGGGATTTTTTGTCTGTTTTTGTCTGTCTTTTCAGGATCTCTAACAGTCCTTTCCACTGAAAATCTACAGGCAGTAACAAATGACAACAGTGCTACAGGAAATCGAACTATAACCTTCACTCTCATCAGCACACCAAAACTTGGGAATCTCGTCAAGATAGAGGCTGACAACTCAACATCAGAAATGTCTTCTTTTACCCAAATCATGGTGTGTAGACATAAAGAGAATCTCAGCAAGACCATATGTTTGCAAGCTGAAATTTATGGCACTATAGTTTTCCAGGCACTACATTTGTTTTATGAAAGACCTATTCATATAAGGGTTTGAGGAAAAAGTACTAGTTGGTGATAAAATATTCAGCTGCTTAATATTATTATAAATTCTGTGCTTTTATCCTTTTGCAAAGTAAAGGAAGACTATAAAAACATCTGTTTACATGTCAGTTTTTTACAAAGCTTTGCTTGGATAAAAAATGTTATCTGTGTTTCCACTATATAATATGATGTTAACGCAGTCACTGCTGTCTGTTTTTATTATTAAAACAGACATGCAAGTCAATTAATGCTAAACTTAAAAAAGCTTTTGGTCTGAATTGGTGTTAATATTTTATACTTAAAAAGATAATTTAATTTGAATAATAACATACAGGTTGAAACAACATAAAATTATGTAGTATGGAATGTTTTTTTACTTGCAAGGAAAACTGAATACATAAAAATAATTTTCTCTTAGAAAGGTGCCTCAATGTGCAGAAAATAAAAATGACTCATAATTAATAGCTATTTATAAAATTACTCATATTTCACAGTACCCAACCACCACCAGTTCTGTGCAGAAGAATGCATTTCAGCCTTTTTAGTTACACTAATAAGAGTTCAAAAGTAAATATTGGACAATTAAGACAGTTGATTCATAGTTTGAGATAATATTGTATAATTTATCTTCTTAATATGGAGGAACTCTACCGGTTTTTCCTTGCATATGATGTCTCATCAGATTCTTGTTGTAGCAGACATGACCTCTCAAAGAAAATATTCATCTGACAGTTATACAGTGTGAAATGGTTATATATCTCCTGACAGAAAGTTAAAAATGTGATGTTTGTTATCACAGTTTAGAGCAAAATGACATAATTTTGGACCCATCATTTCAGGGGGTTTTAGAATATCAAATGTAATCAAGAAATACTTTAATATCTCACAGAATAATAATAATAAACTTTATTTTATATAGCACCTTTAAAGGTGGCTTCTCAAAGCGCTTTACAGGATGACAATAACACTAAATAAGAAGACTACAACAATAAATAAGAAGATTTCACAAGATAGGACACAATTATAATTACAACAATACAACAATAACAATAGAGGAGACCGTGGAAGGTGGTATTAAGAAGAGCAGAGGGGTGAAGAATGGAACCAGTTAAGTAAAGGCTTTTCTGAAGAAGAAGGTTTTGAGTCTAGATTTGAAGGAGTTTAGAGAAGGTGACTCTCTAATATCATTGGGCAAAGAGTTCCAGAGCTTGGGGGCATAGCAGGAGAAGGCCCTGTCGCCCATACAATGTAGACAGGCTTGGGGGACAGTGAGGGCAGAATTTGAAGAGCGGAGGTTGCGAGGTGGGGAGTAGGGCGATAAAAGTTCAGACAGGTATTGAGGTGCCAAGCCATGTAAAGCCTTATAGGTGAGCATGAGGATTTTAAAGTCTACGCGGAATTTGACCGGAAGCCAGTGCAAGGACTCCAGGATAGGAGTAATGTGAACACTTGCACTAGACCTGGTCAGGATTCTGGCTGCTGAATTTTGGACATACTGCAGCTAGTTCAGAGTAGATTTAGATACCCCAGGGAGTAGAGCATTGCAGTAGTCAATTCGAGAGAATACAAATATGTTGATCGTTTTCAGCCACGGTTAATGATAGCATAGGGCGTAGTCTTGCAATATTTCTAAGGTGAAAAATAGATGTTTTGACAGTATGCTGTACATGTGGGTCGAATGTTAAGCCAGAATCGAATATAACCCCAAGGTTTTTCAAATTTGATTGAAGCTCAAGTACAGAGCCATCTACAGACAGGGTTACAGGACTGGCTTTATCAAGTTGATGGGGGGTACCAATAAGCATGACTTCAGTCTTGTCACAGTTAAGATGAAGGAAGTTTTGAGTCATCCAAATTTTTATGTCAGAGATGCAATTAGATAGAATAGAGACAGCCACATCAGTGTCGGGTTTGGTGTGGATGTATATTTGAGTATCGTCAGCGTAAAAATGAAAGCTGAGGCCATGTGATCTTAAAAGCTGACCAAGTGGGAACATGTAAATGCTGAAGAGCAAGGGGCCCAGTATTGAGCCCTGGGGGACACCAGACTTGACTTGACAGAAATATAATGAAACCATTGAAGTATAGAAAAATGAACCTGTGAAAAGAATTAATCAAGCATTCCATATACAGTATGTACATTAGCAATGAGCGGTAGAAGTAAGAAAAAGGAAGGTAATACATTTTCTAAAACAAGTGTAGTAGATTGTCTGATTCTGAAAGATCCTCATTAAAACGCAATTGCTATAAAGGATGTTCTGTAAATGATAGCATATTTGAACCACACAAAAAATACAAGGTCCTTACATGCGTCTCTTCTTGCACAGGTGGATGATGGTGTGATTGCATATAAGCAAAGCAATGTCGAACCTGTGGGTTGGAGTGCTGTGGATTCCTTCAGATTCAGTGTGTCATCCCCACCTGCCTCCCTTGAACCACATGTGTTTAACATTGACATTTCATATGAAAACACTGGACCGGAATCTAAAAGCCTTCTCCTCGCAAACACAGGTAAAATGTAACACCAAAAAAATGTTATCATTGAACAATTCATCTACATTTTGGGTATTAACAGTCTGAACTTTTTGAATTTAAGAAGATGCTGACTCTTACAAAGTGTGGTAATAAAGAGTAAATATGTCTCTTATTATTATTTGAATTACACCTGTTTATGTAGGCGTACAGTATGTGCAATGAAGTGACAAACCTATAGCATTAGCTGCTGGATTTTAGATTCCTTACTAGAGCCCTGCGTTTATAAAGAGTAGAATACTAAAAATATAGTGCAGTGGGTCTCTTATTTACTGCACTATATTTATATCTCTTGATGTTACCTTTACTTTTTGTTTGTGGCTGTCAGGTGCTACAGTTACAGAGGGAGAGAAAGTTGTTATTGACAAGTCAAAGCTGGATGCATCCAACCTCATGGCAAAACTGCCCGAAGATCAGCGAAACTCTTATGAAGTCTGGTTTCAGGTTGTATCTTTCCCCCAGCATGGTGTAATCATAGTTGGAGAACGTAACCTGACCAAAGAAAAACCAAACTTCTCCCAGTTTATTGTCAACAAGTATGGGATCACCTACCTGCATGACAATTCTGAGACCACTTATGACAGCTTCCTCTTTAACTCCTGGCTCAACCTGAAGAGCAAGCCAGCTTCTCGTCCCCAGGATGGCAGTAATGTTGTTGAAGAGTTGTTTAACATCACTATTATTCCTGTGAATGACCAGCCCCCACAACTGAAGACCAAGTCCCCAAGCCTGAGGGTAGTACAGGGAGACAAAGCTGTCCTTGGTCCTGAGAACTTGAATGTGGTAGACTTGGATAACCCTCCAGAGGACATAAAATACACCATAATCACTAAACCTAGTAATGGCTTTATGGCCGTGGAAGGTCATTTGAATGAATCCATCATGGCCTTCACACAGGCTGATCTTAATAGTGGTAAAGTGTGGTTTGTCCAAGATGGCACTCCCTTCTCTGGGGTCTTTTATTTCAGTGTTACTGATGGCCAACATCGACCGATCTACAAACTGTTTAATCTACAAGTAACTGCGATCTCTGTCTTTCTTTTAAACAATACAGACCTGGTTCTTGAACAGGGTCAGAACTCTGCAATTCTCACCAATGAGCATCTAGCTGCTGAGACCAATGGTAAGAGCACAGCAATCCAGTATCAGGTTACAACCCCTCCCCAGTATGGTAGCCTTCTTATTGATAATGAAGTTGTCACACAGTTTGATCAGGATGACCTTCAGCAAAAAAGACTGTCTTACCATATGATTAATCTCATGTCTTCCAAGGACAGCTTTGAATTTACTGCCTTCACTTCAGAGAGTAATTTGACACAGCAGGTTGTTAACATTACAGTAAAGCCTTTGATAAAATTACGAAATGATGTAAAGATCCCCTGTGGTGTTATAGTGAAACTGAGGAAAGACATGCTAAACGCCACAGAGTTATCAATCTTAAGTGGCAGTGATCCTCACTTTGAAATACTTTATCCTCCGAAGCATGGTAACATTTTTAAAGCTTTGACAGTTAAAGATAGACCTTCACAGCCTCTCCAGTCCTTCACGTTTGATGATTTAGATCAAGGAAAAATTGCCATTAAAGTCAACGTCAACATGACTGGAGTAGAAGAGATGAACGACTCATTCGTGTTTGTTCTGCAAGCGGATAAAGTTCAGCCTGCTGTTGGTGAGTTTACATACACTGTTGTGCCGTACGATCCAACACTGCTACCAGCTGTCACCACTGAAGGTCCCCTACAGACAACCAGAACGCCTGTGAACCAAACCACTCCACAAGAGTCTACATTACACCTTCCTTTGGAACCAGTTCTAGCGACGCAAAAACCTGTCAAGACTGTGCAGAGATGGAAAGGGAGGAACCGATGGGGAACCCAGAACAGAAATAACGTATCTGTGCCATCGGTTACAAAAGCCACCTCAGGGAAACAGGAGACCACAAGAAAAAACACTGCTGTGAGAGTGGAATCTTTTCCCAGGAAAGCCTCCAACCCCCTGCTCATCATCCTCCCTCTGTTAGCTTGCCTACTTCTCATCATTATTCTGGTTGTGCTGATCTTAGTGTTCCGACACAGGAGGGAGAAGCAGAAACCCTTGATTCAGAACCACCCTAACAATAACATCCCTCCTAGCAGCCCACACCTTGGACAGCCAGAGAGAAGCTTAACCATTCCCTCTGTAACCGTCACTCCCCTGCACACAGACAATGTGGGGAGTCCACTGCTTCTGGGTCCTCAAGGACACACTGTGGTGGCCCCTGGTAGTCCCCAAGACACCTCCTTGCTCCTTTGTTCCTGGAATAACTTGGATCCAGAAACCTTACAGCATTGCCGGACTACTAACCCGTCTTTGAGGCACAACCAGTACTGGGTATGAAATTTGCCTTAGTGCTGATGATTTAGTTGAGCCATCTTTATTCTACTGCTGCTGGACAGTCTGTAGAATTAGATCAAGCAGAGTGCTAGCCTAGGCCATTTTTAGACAACCTGTCTGATGCTGATAGACTTCTGTTTCAGCTCATTGATGCACTGTACAACACTAAAGGTAAAAAAAATGAATGGCTTGATACAGCTTATTTATTAAATCTTAAAACTATAAAATTTGAAAATAAATGTTGGCTATAAACATTTATTTTCAAATTTAATTGTGTGTGAATTTAACCTTGGTTAGTAAACATGTTCATGTTCCTATTACCTCCAGACTGTAGTTACAGTACTTGGAGTTACATAGAGATTTGTTTCAATGAGAGCTTTACTTACAGGACAAGGTAAAGATCACTGTCTAAAAAACTAAACAGCATCCTCACTTTCAGTTATTTTTAGCATTGTTTCATTTTCTACCACAATGCATTTAAAAATGACTATGTGTTCTGGATACTTCCCTTTTAAATGGAAAGTTACACCCATGTTTAATTAAATCGATTCTCTAAATTCTTCCTAATTTTGTGTGAAACCTTCGTGATTAAAAGATGAAAACCAAGCATATGCTCTATAGATAGTTCATTTCATTTAGATAGTTTTTTTTCATTTGAGTAATATCTGTACATATGTTTTCACTTAGTTACTTACTTTTCAGACATACTGTATTCCAACAATCTGTACCAATATTCTGAGTATGACACTGGTATTATTTATTATTTTAAATATTATCATTGTTGTTGTTTTGTTTACTGCAGAATAATTTTTTTTCAGCATGGTACAAATTTACACAAAATAAGTTAGTGAGGCTATATCTTATACTTACTAAGGTAAAGGTACAAATTTAATTAAGCTTTAACTTTTCAAACTCCAACCAATATTTGAAAGTGCTTTACACTAGCTTTCCTTTCCTTACACTTACTTTTTACAACTTATATCCATCCATTTATTTTCTAATGACTTTATTCAGTGTTGTAGAGGAGCCAGAGTCTACTTAACAAGCGTTGGGTGCAAGGCAGGATAAACCCTGGTGGGGTTGCCAGTCCTTCACAGGGCACACACAGACAGACACACAATTCACACCAGGGCCAGTTTTACCAGAAGCCAGTTAACCTACCAGTATGTCTTTGGAGAAAACCAGAGTGCATGGAGGAAACCCCCATGAACAGATCAGTTTTTCATTTGATGGGAACCCTTGCTTTTTCAATCAAGAGATTGGAGTATATTGAAAGAACTGTAGCAACTCTAACACTGGTTCATACTATAAAATAGCTGGTGTTTTTACAAATAGAGTTTTTCAGAACAGTTTTACTTCTCTTTTTTTGGACTATGTTTCACATAAACTAAACTCTGTTGCAAAATCTGTTGAAGTAGTTTCCAAGTAGGACCAGAACCTTATAGAAATCAGATGTTATTGTTTTGTAACAATGCAATATCAAAACCAAATTCAGAATAAGTCTGTCTAAATTTAATCCTGCAAAATTGATCATTTGGGTTATTTTATGTATTCTAAACCAAAACAGTACTCACTGTATGCACATTCTAATGGCTAACTGTGTAAAATTCTTATATTTTTAAGTAGAGTTAAGTATTTATGTGTCGGGATCTGTTTGGAAACTAAGTTGGCATTTTGGATCAGATAATTTATACAAATATACTTTACTGTGAAAATTGAGTTTTTAATTATGTCCATGAAATTAAAGAGTGACTTGAGTGAACCAGCTACTTTAGTTGGTCAGGCAAATTCCACTACATTTAGGCTAGAAAAAATAAATACAATTTTTTAGAGCTGTAACTAACTGATCCATTTGTCGATGATGTTATTTTTGAAAGTAAACTAAATTAGATATTGCAGTTCTGATTTTTCCTAATGTGACTTGAAAAAGGAAATATTCGGGAGTTAAGAGAGAAAAAAAAAACACTTACCCTCTACCCTGCAATGCTTTCAAAGAAAAAAGGAGGGTGTATTGATCAATTATCCTTATGAGACTATTACTCTAACTGAAAGCCAGGAATCTGAGTGAAGGACAATTAACAATATGGTCCTCACCCAGTTTCCTCTGTATAGTGACATATTCTTGAACAGCCATTCTTAGGTTTTGTGTTTTAATTTAATTCCATTTCATTATAGTATAAAATATTCTATAAAATAGTACTTTGATTTACTCTGCTTTTGCTAATAAGACTTTCTTTTGGTCATGTTTTTGCCGTCTTGAGATCAAATAGCCAGACCCAGACAGGACTGCAAAACGTTTTAAAATCACAGTCATAAAATAATAATAATAATAATAATAAATTGTTATAATATAAAATTATAATAAATTGGACTATCAAGAATTCAGGCCATTCTGCTTGGCCAAAATGCAATTTATGCAGTGCCACAAATTAACATTAAGTGATTTTTGTTCAAGCCATGTGCTTGAACACAAGTAAATTCTGTGTGTCAAACAACAGTTCTGAAAGTTTAAGTGTGCTTATTAACCAGGTAGAGTACTGCATTTGATATCATTCAATGAAACACTCAAATATTGCTAGATCATGGTGCAGAAAATCACTTATCAATGAGTGCATCAATCACACTCCTGTTGGACACCTTCACCTTCAATTTCATTTTGCCTCATTTTATCACTGGTTTCTTTTCTAACACCATTTTTTCTTCCATTTCATTCTTAGCAGAGGCATACTAAAAATGCATTTGAAGTACAAATGAAAAAAGTTTAGTTTCATTAATCAAATAAAATTGCCTGGAACGTGTCTAATTTCTTTGATGAAAACAGCTCCAAACAGAACATTCACCATACCTGTATTTCTGAAGTGAATGCTGTTTAAGCACATTGATGATTTTTTTTTCTGAGTTCTTTCACCACTTTTGCCAAAATGTGACATTATTATGCATGAAAGTTGTGAAATTATTATTTTTGACATTTTTTCAGTGAAGCGCTGACAGCTGCATTCAACAACTAATTTGTCTCTCAAATGTCAGCTCCCAAAAGCAACAGATACAGGGTTAAATTTAAGTTCTGATGTAAGAAAGGAATTGTATATTTAACATTTATGAATGAGAATCTATTCATGTCCTAGGGGAAAAACCACTTTTAAATTGAGGGTAATACCTCACTCTCTACCTTACTGTTTACATCGGAAACACTGAATTCATGCTTTACTATTATTTAATTTGGTATTTTATGTATTTACTGTGTGTTTGGAATAAAGTATTGTGCAAACACATGTGAGTTTTTGTTTTTTTATTTCAACACTTATCTAGCTTATCTAGAAGTGGTCTTCTCAGTCTGTTTGCAAAACAAGGATTTGCAAACATGAAATGAATTTTATGATTTCCCCTTGTATTATAAATAACTGGCTTTGGAAGCCAACAAGAATGTTTATGGTTTATTATGTTTTTTGCTACATTATCTGTCAAATGGAATTTAGTACAACTTACTATACAGTATAGTGCTTGTAGATAATTAACTGATTTTAGACTTTTTATTCAAACCCTGGCCTAATTATAAGTCATTTTAATATGCTTTTGATTACTGTGATATTTAGAATTTAAATATGTATGAGATTCAAGTCTTCTGCAACTCAGTACATCTGGAACATATAAAAAGGAAAAACTCTGTTTTGAACTACCATCTGTGGTTCACTGCCCTTTGAAAGGGGAAAACCGGTATTTAAGCACCATTATCAGATCACCACATGGAAACTGAATATTTTTTCCCTTGACCGGTCATTTGTTTTCTTGTCAGCATTTCCTGTAACTCTGCTGCCCCTCAGAAGTTAAAAAAATGAAAAAGTTTTCCAAACAGTTCAGTGGTTAAATATTCTTTGTACCAAGTTTGCGTTGTTTGTAGTATTTACATTTTCATAATTAGACCTTAGTCTCATTTTATATTACAGTTTTACCCACAGAACAATCCATCCATTAATTTCTAATTGCTTCTTCCGGTTGAGGATTTTGGGGGAGCTGGTGCCTATCCTAGCAAAGGGCACAAGGCAGGGTACACCCTGGATGGGAAGCCAATCCATCTAAAGACCAACATACTGTAGACAAATACAGACATGCACCACTCATACCAGGGCCAATTTTCCCAGAAAGAACTTAACCTACCACTATGTCTTTAGACTGGGAACATCCACAAAAAGAAAGGAACATACAAACTCCATGCAGATACTGTAGCGCCCCAGGTCTGGAATTCAACATAGGACCTCAATGCTGCACCAAGCTGCCCACCTATTGAATAATATGCTGAATAAAACATTTTAAGTTTTATTAAACTTAATGTTTAATATAACTTAAATAAAATGTAACTGAAATAAAACATTTAAGTTTTATTGATAATGAAGTAGCATTTCAAACAAAATTGTTTCTCAGAGCCATGATTTCTGTCTGTTTGTGATCCTTTCTAACGTCAGTGATGCCCCCACTCAGTTCTCTGTAAAACATATATATATATATTTTAGTGGACATTTCTGTCAGCCACAACCCCTATATTGAACTCCTGAAGCTGTGTAAGAGAATACAAAAACCTCCCCTTTAGGGGGTTCTTAAATGATCTGCAGAAATCATATAGACTCATCCAAAATATTTTTGGAAAATCTGTAGAACCTTAATATTTTCCATCATGCTATTGTACACGTACTGTATATCCTTGTGTTTAGGGTCTGAAAGCTGAAAACTATTCATCTTTAATTGTAGTGTGATTTTTCATCCTTTCTCTGTTTTTGCGGATTAAATGCATCATGTCAGCCTGCTTGGGGTTTCCATATGTAGATTTCATACTGTGACAAAACATTCAGACCACATGCTTTTGAGTCAAAGATCACTGATTACAACAATAATGCACTGGTTAGGCAAACCTCACCACTTTTTTAAAAACTAATGTTCTTTAACAGTGTTTTTGCCCTTACAGATGTAACGACACGCATTTCCTTTGTCTCAGCTTGCCATTTACCATACTTTACCACACACCCCTATCCTTACCATGCTCTTAACCTTACTTCACTATTGTTTCATTATGCTCACCTATTTGTCAATATGAATAAAAGGAAGAATTTTGTGAAGGTTAAATTCTTCCCCGTTTTAAATACAAATGCTAACTTCAAGTATAATCAACATGAGCTGATCTGTCTGCACAATTTAGCACATTTTACTTATGTTAAAACCTCAATGCAGCTGAGACAGTGAATCGGCATGGTTAGGGTACTGGAGTGAAAAGATTGACACTACTGTGAAACATATAGTCTAATCGTAACGCACAACAAGTAGCATTCAAGGTCACCGACTTAAACTTTTACTATTATTATATATGGGATCATACAGTATATGATCAAATCATACGGATATATACTGACACAAAAGTGCAATACCCACAACACGTACCAAAGGTACAAAAGTATAATATTTATTCACTCTGTCATGATATAATTTTATATACAGTATATGCATTGATTGATCTAGCAGAATCAAACTTTGATGTAGTAAATATTAAATGCAAAGACACAATTATCTTTGATATACATTGTAACATTTCAATTTTAAATCTTATTTCAAAATTATTCACTTCAATAATAAAATCAATCATGAAACATTACATTTTTTCAGTACATGAATTAATCATAACACAGGAAGAATGTTGAGAAAAATCAAGGAACACTTAGAAATGTTTTGAAATTATATATATATAAACAAGAAAATTCCAAATTGAATACAGGAACACAGATGTAGAATATCACAAAAAGGGCAGATTCAATGTAATTGTTCTGTAAGTGAATACTTACTGTAGGAAGTCTCTTTGATATGTCAGAAAAAAGCATTTAAGGACCTTTAGAGAATCACAAAACATATTTGAAATAATACACATTTCACAGACCAAAAACAGCAGTATTTTAAAAATTCATTAGGCTTTGCAAGTAGTTTTTAAAAATAGAATCTCTAATTATATTTGTCATACCCAATCAATTTGGAGAAGCCATTTTTTTGTATTTTTCACATCTCGGGTTGCAGCTCTTTGATGTGAAAACCCATCAGCACTGTACAGGAGAAAATGAGGAATAGTGCTCAGACCCCTCTGACCCACCCAGAGACGACCAATTCAGGAGGACAAATCCTTTTTGACAGCATATTTTTTTAATAATTTGTCTGTCCAAGTTTTTGGATTGTGGCTATTGTAAAGCATCTAGGTGATTTATAATTTGGATTTACTGTAACTGTGCAAGACTTAAACATGCTTAAACATGCATTGTTTATTAAAGATAAGTTTAATCTGTTCATAAATTTGTTGGTCACTTCAGAGTTTTGCATTATAATATGACAAGTATCCAAAAATAAGAAATGATTGTACCTGAATTGCTTTCTCTATTACTAGACTTAAAGCTAACAGAAGCTATTGTGAAGGAATCTAAAACAATAACAAAGGATTACAGTGTACGTGTATATGAAGTGGTGTCTGTGTGTATACGGGAACATATATTTTCCACAGAATGGGTGTATGGAAATGTATACACTTAAAAATTAACACCTACCTCATTCCTTCTGAAACAAAAATATCGCCTCATGAAATGTTCCATCTAATAAACTGGTTTCAGTTTAAAAATATGTCAACAGCAGACTTTAGTCCATTTAATAAGGTAGTTTTTAGAAGCCAACTGAATCCCACTACCCACGCTCTTAGTCACAGAGAAAAGTCATCCATGTACTGTATATTAGTCTGGCTGACAAAAAAGGCTGTGGTTTGCAGTTATTTTTTTCCCAACCAACAAATATGCTGTCATTAAGAAACAGTCAACACAGTATATGACAGTGATGTGAAACAGCAGAGGGCAGTGTTTATGCTATAGTGTTTATGCACCATCAAAGCTTCATCTTTGTCATTGGGAAATGTTATCCAGTCATTTTTCTCAGGTGTATCATTCACCTTTAGAATTCCTTTTTCTTTATTGTCCTGATTAGCAACACATTCAAATGCAATATGATCTCTACAATGAACCACTATCTACTAAAAAAGGTGACAAAACCAAACCAAATAATTAAAAAGTACTCTAATTTCTGTTATATGCAACTGTAAAGAAATTATTATTCAAACTAAATTGGTGACATCAAGACTCTAAGGGATTTAGAAATGGTGGGTTTTGTGTAACTACCTTTGTAGTTCTTTGATATGCAAAAAGCAAACAATAATGGAAACAATAATGGATACAAGTGGAACATATAATTTATCATTTATATTTTTTATTCATATGTTTCAATAATCTAGGGACAATAGTCAAACATCTAGCTAGTTTCTGCATTTGTAGTTCTTAGGAGCTTCAAAGCAAGAAAAAAATGTTTTGAAGTGTTTTCTTGGGTCTGAGACACACTACCAAAAGAATAGTTTACCTTTGGTTTTTCTGGTCGGCAGGATGTAGGCCTTTGAGATGCCGTGTTTGTAAATAGTGTAACTTGTATGTTGTATGCATATGTTGTGTGTTGTTTAGTTTTTCTGTGTCATTATTAATACATCTTTGTTTAACCCAGAGTGCCTGATTTATGACTCTTTTCACTAAAGCTGTGCCAGAGGACAAAGAACTCAGGTGTCTTTAATTATATTATTCTAACAGGTTTATTATTGGCAAAAGTTACTATTTGGGGTTATGATTATTCAGCCTACCCAGTCTATTTCTATTTATCTCTATTTTCTATTTATTTTCATAACCCCTTTTTGTAACAGTATGATCTACATTGTGGTATAGTATAGCCCCTTACACCTGAAGAAGGCTCCACAGCCGAAACGTTGTGTTTTCTTTCTGCTTTTTTCAGCATGGAATAAACCTTGACTTGTTCCTTTACATTGTGGTATAGTTAGCAAAACAGTCACACACCAGACGAGGAGGATTAGTTAAAACTGTGTCCTTTATATATTATAGTGCAGAATGTTGCATGCAGGAAGCAAAATAGTCAACTAGTAACATAAAATGGGAAACACTGAAGGGGATACTTATGAGAAACATAGAAATATCATTTTCATCTTCTAGACATTATAGAGACTGGTGAACAAAGCAAACAGAATGTGTAGTGGAAAAGGCATGTAATCCAGGGATGTTAATATTGTAAAATGAACTGGTTATAATCCATTTAACAGTATAATGTGTACTATTGTGTTCACCAAGAATGGGAAAGATGTTCCTGGGCTCAAAGGAATCTTCTACACTAATAGGCCAAATGAATTGTCATCTAAAGTTTGAATT